GTTGTTGATTGCGCGTGGTGCTGACATTGAACATCACGACAAGAAGGTATGATGTCTACGTTTGCTCTTGTTCAGTGAATACTAACTGAGAAACTGAAATTTTTATTTGCATGTGATGATGGTTGAGAGCGTCTGTTTATTTGAGTTAGTTCATTTATAACAGTTGTTGTTGTCGTCGTTGTTGTGAATCACATTTGTTCGTTTTGAGGGGTTTACACCGTTGATTCTGGCCGCAACGGGTGGTCATGCAAACGTTGTGGAACTGCTTCTGAACGCTGGCGCTAACATCGAAGCACAATCCGAGCGAACCAAGGACACAGCGTTGTCGTTGGCGTGTTCTGGAGGACGAAAAGAGGTGGGTTGCATTTTGCGATTGATTGAGTGGTGTTATGTTAAGGACGATGTTAATGAGGTTGGTTGTTGAAGGTGGTGGACTTGCTGATCAAACGTGGTGCAAATAAAGAACATCGAAACGTTAGCGATTATACACCATTGTCACTGGCTGCGTCCGGTGGTTATGTGGACATTATTGTGATGCTTTTGAATGCTGGTGCGGAGATCAACTCTCGAACTGGTTCGAAGGTTGGTGGATTATTGGGTTGATCCGTTTATTGATTGATTTATTTCCGTACAAACCAAATGAATTTGATGAAAATGAAGTGGTGACATTCAAGACAAAAACATCATCATCATTTGATTTTTATTACATCACTAGACGTGTTTTTATCGGAATTNAATAAGTTAGAGCCATTTTGCGTGTGCTGACGATGAATTGAAATTTTAGTTGGGCATATCGCCACTGATGCTGGCTGCAATGAACGGACATGCGCCTGCAACAAAACTGCTCTTGGAGAGAGGATCTGACATAAACGCGCATATTGAAACGAATCGAAATACTGCGTTGACTTTGGCGTGTTTTCAAGGAAGAACTGAGGTGGTTCGATTGTTACTCGAATATAATGCCAATGTGGAGCATCGAGCAAAGGTTTGTTCTCGTGAAAGAATATTTTGAGTTGGGTTATCAGAGAACATGAAAATGAGTCTTTCAAATCAAAAGAACCGATTTATCTTTTTTTTTTTTAAAGAAGGGACGTATTCTTTTATAGACTGGTCTCACACCCTTAATGGAAGCCGCCAATGGTGGATATGTGGATGTGGGCGAGTTATTGTTAAGAGCTGGAGCCGATCCGAACACATCACCGGTTCCGACGAGTCGAGATACTGCACTGACGATTGCCGCCGATAAGGGTCATCATAAATTTGTGGAGATGCTCATTCACGCGGGTGCTCAGGTTCGTTGCCGGCATTCATTGTGTGCATTTACACATTTCCTTATAATACAACCAATCGTCTCCATTGCACGAA